GCTGGGTTTATGGTCCTGCCTTTTTCTGTGGATCCACTGTTCATTTACAGCCTCTGGCTTGTCCCTGCTCTGACTCTGAGCTGATCCACGCTAACCTGGGTCAAGGACCTAACTTGGCAGAAAAAGATACGTGAAGCACTAGTGCCACACTAAGGAAGGAGCTGGATTGCAGTAACAGTGGCTTTGGTCAGCCTCAGGAATTACACAGTTGCTACCTGAATCTGCTCCTTTTTTGTTGTATTAAAAAGTATGTATTTTCAAGTACTGAAAACACTGTTTGCAAGTTTTCCCCAAACCTTTCAGCGGGGGAATAGCCATGTGTATTTCACCAGTAAGAAGTCACAATATCTCCTATTTGATTTTCATAGTCAACTTTCTGCTTTCTCTTACATTACTAACATGCTTGGAAGAACCCCATGTAAACACCTGCATATCATCTTGTTATTTCCTTGGACTCTCATGCCCAGTCTAGTCTAACTTTGTAGGCATTTTTGCACAGGAACCTTCCTTTTCTTATGCAATATTATTGCACTTAGCACAAAAAGCCCTTGTCCAGGACTAGAGAAGATTCGTAATATAAGTGATAAATCATCATCATAACGCAGAAGAGAAATACTACATGATGATAACACATCCTCTTCTTTAGCTCGCTATTACTGAAGTCAATAGCAAAGCTGTATTGACTTCAAATGATGTAAGATTAAGCCTTACAGCATTATTATTCCATATAATTCTGAAATCACTTGTTATAAAATGTTTCAGCATAAAGAAAACCTCAGCTTTATAGCAGTACACACACAGAGTCTAGATTGGCAGTGATACAGACATAGAAACATCCACAGGGTGAATATAATGTGTGTGTATGTATATATATCTTGTGTGTATATATATACACATATATCTTTTTACCTTTTCTGTCCAAGACTGCTACAGTAATGTAGGCATTATGTTTGCCCTCAGATTGATATGTCTGTTAATCTCAGCAGCCCCGTCAAGATTACTTTTATTATCTAAGTGAACAGTAATTTAAAAGAAATAGCATTTTATTGAACCGCTGCTTAAATTCCAGCAACTTCAGATAAAGACAGTCTGCCTCGGTGTGACGTGATTTGAGAACTGAAACTGCACGTTCCTCAGCAACTGCCTTCTACTTTCGTCTGTGTAACGCTCAAAGCCGCACTTTTGTGTGTTTATATTAAGCCCAAACGAAATTAATGAGTTTTTCAAGAAAAGGAGTTGTAATGAAAAATCTTCAATATAATTTTAAAGCTGTAATTTTATACAAATTCCTGACATCGACCTCAGTGTGTGCAGAGGTTCTGTTTAATTTTCATTAAATAATGTAATATCTTTTTCAGATATTATTTGAAACGAGTAATTCCTTTTTCATTATGTATCTTCTATTGAATTGGTAGCCTAGTGTTTCATACAAAGGCTGCAGGCTGCTTATACTTGAGCACCCACTGGATGGCAGTCACATACAGCTTTGGAAAGAATTTAGCTTGGTCCTTTCCCTCGCTGAGCTAAAAAGCAGCCCCAGGTTAAGTGCCTCTAAAAAAAAGTTTTCTTTTAGTAGATAATGCTAGTTTAGAACAAAGACAGTAAAAGCGAGCAGACATAAATGTCACTATTCCTTCACTGTTGTCTTGTGGTGCACCGTTTCATTTCAGGTGGCAGGATTAGATAAGGGTCAAGGCTGGCATAGAAAGCAATGCAGGTATTCCCTATAGGAAGAGAGATGCTGGCAGTAACCAGTCAGAAGTGGTTGTCCATACTGATGATAGGGCCAGGAAATCAATATCACCAGTTTTTAAATGGAGATTCATTTCAAGCAGGAATCAGAACAAACTAGAACTTAGAGTTCTTAAATCTTTAAAACAATTCATAGCTGAACCCATTCTGAAATCTTTTCTTGACTTCAGTGAGATCTGTGTGTGAGTAGATAGATTCGGTTATTGATTCAGTACAAAAGGTTAATCCTAAGCAGTAAACTGGCTGTGTCTGTTAGACCCTGCAATGTAGCCCAGTGTTAGTCTCCTTGTTGCCATCCCTGTCTCCCATGTGTGGCAGGATCTTTTCCCTCTGCCATGGTGACATGCTCTGCCACACTGAAGCACTAAGGGAGACAAGATCACTGGAAGGGTTTTTTACATTTTTATTCTAATGTGGCCAAGGCCACCACCTACTAAACTGTTTCAGGGTTGCTTCCTAGCAAATAACAGCATGTTTGATTACCTGAGCTACAAACCCAAAGCTTGGGGTGATGGGGTGATATGTTAGGTATTCTGGGCCCAAATTACAGAGCAACTTCAAAATAAAAACCTAGACCTCAAAGCTTATGGACATATGAACAGAAGGCAGCCTTGCAGGGAACCTGTGCTGCAGTGAAACAAGCTACAGCTTTACATAGCTAATATACCAACTCTCTGTTAAGCCTTTATTGACCATACTTTCCACGTCCTGAACACTGACTCAAGACAAAGGGAGTTTCACTACACCCCGTCTGGCAGAATTTGGTATTCTGTGTTTGTGCATGTTAGTGCTCACAGTGATTCATCATTTAAATTGACTTTTCATTTTCAGGTAAGTCCTGCAGACCCAATTAGCATTCTTAGATAGATGCTGCCTGTACATTAGGCAGGGATGACTTTTTTATTACTTGCTCCTGATAGTTACTCTGATAATGAACACCTGGACCATGGCTACAGATTTAGGACACCCACAATATGTTAATAAATTAAATGTTAGAGTGATAATTATTAGTAGTAGTATCTTATCAGAATAATGATGTTCTTCTCATACCCACTGCTCAGTTTCCAAGTCATAATAGAAAGAAATATTTAAACATTGCTCCAGATTTATTTTGGAAAAGGAAGAGCATAGAAGTTGATGATGCTGACAGATACTAATGCATGTGGTAGTACACCTTATTATTTTATCAGTTACTTCAGCATATCTTAATATATATATAAAGATGCGTATAAAATTAGAGCCTAGAATATGAGTCCTATGCAATCAGAATGTATCAGAAGTAATTCTACTGCAGGTAAAGAAGTTACCTGAGGTTAAAGTCTTGGCATATGAGAGGCTGAAGGATCAGGGATTTGTGCATCAGTCTTTTCACCAATCTTTTCCTGATATGCCTCTCTAAAATCTGTACCTTTAATTTAATAGCCATACTGGTAAATACCCTGAAAGCTCTGACCCATTCCTATGTGTCTTGTGAAGTAAGAAGGAAATATTTTTCCACCTGATATGCCTGCAGCTCCCATTGACAAGAGGTCTGACCCTTGGGATGCTGGATGCCGGAACACTGATTTCCTTTCCACCAGGGAAACCAGTAGCAAGCACTAGAGTTTGTATTTAGGACCTGCTGTGATTGAGGTTTAGATCTGTGTTTTAACTTTTTGCATTTGTGGTTTGAAATTCTGTAACTCTGATTTCAGTTAAAATATATATTTCTGCTATTAAAAATCTGAGAAAAGCTGCTCAAGATACCCTGAACAAACTAGAACTTCTTAGTTTCTGAGTAAGAAGACGGAAGTGTGTTTTTTGATATATTTAGCTCAAAAGTGCAGTTTAAAATTGGAAGATAGCCAGTAATCATGCTAATACACATTTGTGGCCAAATTTTAAATAAACAGTGTGAAAACTAGTTAGCATCAATTAAAAATCACTTGAACAGGAGTATTTGCTAGGCCTCTTTTGTCAGCTGCAGAGAACGTTTTCCCTCTCTGTTCTGTTATAGCGATACATTTCTCTTGGTAAGGTTTTATGGGGCAGTATAAGAAAGACAAGACCCCTCATTTCCAGTTATTACAGTGTTTTGAGATGACTGCCTCTGCACACGCATGGGTATGCCATCAGCAGGCTGTCCAAGTACATGGGCTCACAGTACTCCAGGGAATTCAGCCCTTCAGTTCTAGAGTCTGCCATTCATTTACTTTGCTGAATTGAACATTTGCAGTATCACTAAAGCAAACTAATCCAAGGTAATAACAATTTGAAATCTGAAATATGGCAAAAAGATACATGGAAAAATGGCATGCCCTTCCATGTTGTGGTTTCTCCAGAATTACTTCTGCAGCCTATTATACCCTGCAAAGTCTTAAATCTCATATATGAGTCTCTGTCCTCGTTTGTGCCAAGGTAAGGCCAGAATAAAATAAACAGCTTTTGTTCTGCCCTCTTTAAGCTTGTGTAATAAACACATAAAGCTGGGAAAATAAATAACAACTGCAAAGATAAACATTCACCCCAATTACCTTTACCAAGTGTGAGCTTTAAAACTCTATTGAGCCACACAGAACTATCTTAATAGCCATGGTACTAAGCACAGGCAATGTATTTCATTCCTCTCTCTTCACATCTTTCTGTTAAATAGTTAAAAAATAGGAAAATATAAGCTAATGTAATGTGATTGTTGTGTCATATCGGGGCAATATGAGTTTCCTATAGATTAAAGTATTTAGCTAAATTAATTACTTTTGAATTTATTTTTTTAGGTTTCGTAAGTTGTCATCGCAATTACATAATAATACTATTTTCAACAAAGACATAATAAAATGTAAGGTACAAAACAGTATGTCTTAGTAATTTATGCCTTTCCCAAGAGAAAAGGAGAATGTCCAACACATGCTTTAGTCTCAAACTCTCAGCTGTGTAAATCAAGCTTCAGCAATAACATAGGTCCTAAATGGAAATCTTATATTAAAATAATAAGCTGGTTTAGTGTTGATGCTGTTGGGTTTATTAGCTGAAGTGATTCTACAGCAACCGGAACAAACGAACGTCCAATATAGGTATTTTCCAGGCCTTGGGAACTGTGGAGATATGGAAGGAAGGGTATTCTCTGTTGTTTTCCCTTTGTCAAAATGAAAGCAGAGCATATCAGAGAGAGTTGTAAGTTGTGGCATAAACTCCATTAAAGTAGACTCGATTCAGTAGCACTGTAAGAAGCCGGATCTGTTCTAAACACTCATCATTTTCTTTTTCCCCAGCTTGATCACTATCCTCCAACAAGTTACAGCCTGCCAGCAGCATCTGATACTCAGTTCAATTCCCCAAAGGCGCTATTCCTAGGAAAAGTAATAGGTAAGATTTCACTTTATACTCGGGACGGTGATGTGTGCTGTGTTTGCAGCAGGGCACTTGCTGCACATTCTTGACTAGGAAGTGGTAGTATTAGAGTTACTCCTAAAAAAAGGGTTATGTTCACCTTGTCACATAGGCTGATGTGCACACAAATATGTGATTGTCTGCCCAATGCATGGGAAAAAACAGTTACAAGTAAAGAGACACTTGTAACATCTTGTTTGTGAAGTTCCATTACCCCTCTCAGTGTCAGGTGGAGAGAACACAAGGAAATCATTGAGACACTACAAATATTCAATATCAGTACAGGTATTGAAGTTACTTTGAATCTTCCAATTCACTGTGAAGTTATCATATGTTTTTTATAATCCATGCAGTCAGTGTTCTTATGAACACAGTGCATCACCTTGTGGCATAACTGGCCCTCATCACCCTGGCAAAACCACAGCTTTCTCACTGTGAGGCCCAGCAGCAAGGTCCTTTGGAAGTCTGTAACACCTACAGCAACTCTCATCTGTACGTTTTCCATCCCTTTTATGGACCTCATTGTTATTTCCCAGGGCAGCAGCTTCCTGGCCAACTCCCCAGCTGCACTCGTGACAATGCAGATCCATCTTAAACGGCCTTGGCCTCACTTTTAGGCCATCCTAATTTCCACTGCTGAATTTTTCCACTACTGGCATTTTACATGAGTTCCCAGGGTCACTCCCTTCAGGAATTAATTATTCTCCTGATGTTTACAGCTTTGAAGGAGGGCTTTTTTCCCTTCTCAGAGATAAGGGGGTATTAATATTATTTCCTCTAGTGCTTTGTACAGGGAGTGGTTGCTTGAGGTTTAATCCAGAAAATTGCAAACTTGTCTTTGCTTAGTGTTGTGAGGCAGTAATCCATGAAGCCCATGCACTGATTATTGAAGTGAAAAAGCAATTGACCCCATAGCTAATGTGACTGTGTGAAGATACACTTTTCCATTTAACATGCTGAACTTCCATGAAATAAGAAATGAAAAGCCTTTGAAATGGTTGGCTAGCAAGAGAGGAACTATTTTGTGGTACTCTCAAAATCAGTTCTATAGATAGTACAAAAGACAGTGATGTCTGATCATGGTGGATCCCTGTAAACTGTGTGCATTCCTGCCTCACCTCACTGAATTAAGGCAGTTGAACTGGTGCTGACTCTGCCTCAGCCATTAATTCAAAGTGAGGAGACAGAGGGCTTTAGGAAGAGCATTCAGCAGCTGCAATAACTCTGCAGCAGACAAGGAATGTGGCTTGGTTCTCTCCTGCCAGGTGATGGTGAGCAGAAATACCAGCTGAAGGGTGTTGCGGTGTCCATCTCCTGTAATGGACTAATAGCTAGAGAGGTTGTGTTTCCTTTGATGTGGCAGCATGTGTCTGAGAAACTACCTGATATGGCAGTACTGCCTCCACAGGTCAGCCCTGTACGTAAGCTTGACTGTTTTGACTGGTTGGTTGCAGGCAATGCTTTGGAGGAGGCTGCGTGAGGAGTGTGAGAGGGAGAAAATGGAGATAGGCATACAACAGAGAACAGACTGCAGCATAAGAGATGAATAAGAAGGAAGGGAAAGAAAAGGACAACTAAAACACAGAAGAAAACAGTGCACTGTACACTGTGGTGTGAAAAGCAAGAATGGGAGAAACAGAAATGGAAAAAGAAAGCAGGAAATACCGCTTAGATTATGCTCATTTAAAATACTCAGTTCAGACAGAGCTCTGCAGGGAGTCTACTTCTTAATCCTCTGAATTGCTGAGCTGGCAGGTGAACTAGCAACATAGTCAAGTAACCACGTAGATGAAACCGTGGCATAGTCAAGAGGTTTACTCTGTGCACGGGTTCTTTCTGAGCTGAATTTGTAAGCAGGTTCACTGCACTGTAAAATCAAAGTCCACCCAGGTGTCTCCCACATAACCCCATGCCCTGTTGTGCTGGTTTCTTTGCTGTGTTTAAATATTCACATTCTGAAAAGGTATTTAGGCATTCCTGGAGAATAAAGCTGCTGCAAGAACTGGGCAGCTCAGAGGGTCCCTGATGCAGCTTTTCATGTCTAGGATACTTTCTTCAATATTGTCAGTGACTTAAATGCATGATAACCATTTGAGAGGGCCCAGTAAAATCAGTTAACTGACCCAGTTCTGTTCCTAAAGATCTAAAGCCACAGCCCCTTACATTCGCCTCACTTGCAGTCATGTATGTGGTTGGAAAGAAGAGGTTTAAGTCTCCTCAGCCTGCTTCAGTTGGATCCTACCAAGTGAGTAATGAAGTTTGGTAACAGAATAATTTCTGTGTTCTGAGTATTAATGTTGAAAGATGGATCATAGGACTTGCTGGACTATTTCAAAATACAGACATATAAAAAGAAAAAGAAATAGCAGAGATCAGTGAATAGAAATTGATTTTTGCTATGTAATAAATTTTAAATACCTGGGAACTTACAATTTATATTGCCTGACAAGAGCAATTAAAGCAAGTATCAAATCTCAAAGTTGAAAAGCTTAAACATAGTCCTGATAGTGTCTGTCCCATAAATACATATAATACAGTTGAAGATTATCATCAGGAAGTATAAAGCAAACACATCTATAAGTGATGCTCACCTTCAGCTCCTCTGCTAACTTAAGAACTGGGAACAGGGAAGGGTCTGGGGACACCCTGAAGGAGTGATCTGTGGGTAGGCTGTATGTCTGTTTTCCTGTGCTACTTGATTTTAAGCCTCAGACAACCCTTTCTGAAGATGTTGTCATCCATTCCATACATTTGTTACATTTTGTACATCGCTGGGAATGAATGCTTTGATTTTTGACAGCATAGGTTTATGTCAGCACACTGGGGATATGTTTCTTCTGCTTCCTTTTCTCTGCTTATGTTACTGCCTTTGCAAAATAGGATATTAAGCAAACGAGTGAATCAGTAATACAGAAAAACCACCCCACTTTCTGTTCTTGCTGACAAAGAAAAAATGAACTTCTCTGTAGAGAAACAGATTTCCTGATGTAAAATTGTTGTGCAGCTGACCATGTCTATTGATCAGCTTTACTGTGCAATTCTCAGAGTAAGGTTAGATGAGGGGAGAGCACAATTAACAAGGTTACATGAGTGCAGCAGTTTGAAGGGCAAAGCAGAGGCAGAATCCAGTATCTTGAAAGCTCCTAATTGTCACATCATACTGGCTAGGCATATTTCAGTGGCCCAGAGGGATTAACACCAATATATATCAAGTTACAATTTGTACCCACCTGCAATTACATTCCCTAAATGGACAATATGGGAGTAGCTTCCTGCTAGTCTGTCAACAGTCGCATTCAGTTTCTGTTGCTCTCATTCTATGCAATTCTTATTTGTCATCAGAAATGAATGCAAGGTGTTATTTGTAAAGACAGATGGGTTTTTGAAGAGCACTCTGGAACAATCCTGCTAAGAAACTGATCATCTGCCTGTCTTTATTACCATTTTTATTAGGGTTATTTGCATGGGAACATCTGCTTCTGCCACAGCTGTGATTGCTGTGATTGCTCATCTGCTGCCAGTCAGAAACAATCACTTGTACAACACCTAGCACAAGGCAACGCCAGTTTCTGCTCTAGGTGCTACAACAATATGGCTGATTAATAAAACGGTGGCCAAATGGCTCCATGCCTCATAACTGTTGTGAATATTTTCTGTAAGGCAGGAGGGTCACGTCAGAAACAAAAGGAAATGATTGAATTGCAGCTGCAATCAGGGAGCATTTCTTCAATTTGAGGTGGTTTTGGCTTTCCTGAGATAGTTTCCAGAAAACTCAGTTGTTCCCTGGCTTGAAAAACACTGATATAAAATATCTGTAGCCTTCTGGGAAACCAGAGGTAAAGGCATTCAGTGTGTGATTCATACCCAGGTAAAATGGATTATGATTTGAGGTGAGAAATAAAGCCTAATGAGACAAGGAGTGAAAAATCCTGTTTTAAATGAGTGTATAGTAATAAAAATAATAGCACCAGAGGAATGCAGGATTTTGTAAAAAAGGTAGAAGGGCATTGTTAATATTTCAAGGAAGTCCTTTACTCTGTTATTTAAACATACTTGGGCATTGGTGGCTGACACAGACAAGGTAGGAGGGAAAAGATGGCTATGCGGATGGCCAGCTATGAAGAGGAAAATAAGAAGTGGACAATGTGACAGGTAGCGTTACACATCATGGATCTGATTCTACATTTTCATTTAGGCTGCAACTTGAGACTCATTTCTGAGGTAGGATAGAGCCGAGCTTTGGTTTCCCCATTAAGTGCAGCGGTTTTAGATGCGATGCTCAGGTTTGTCTTCACATCCTTTTCGGATACCTACACCAACTTCTGTTACGTGAACCTACTGTATAGGCGACTGATGTCATAGTCTGTACTTTATTACTGAAAGTGGAGTATTTCTTTGGGTTTTAATATGCATTTATAAAGAGTTAGCTGCATGTAATTAAATGTGAGTTTGTAAAAGTATCACTCAGGTAAACAGAAATAATTTTAGTTTCCTAAGAGGATATTTGGTGGAGCACAGAAACACCAAGCTCAGACAGCCGTTGATCTTGAGAAGGTAAAGGAAATGTGCTCCTTCTGTGTTTTCCATCTCCACCAACCACTCTTAAATCTAATGATATCATTTCAAAAATACTTAAATATCCACTTGGAAGCAATCAACATAATGCAAGATACCTATAACATAGTTTATCAATTTCAAACCTGACAGCTGTCCCTGCAGCTAATCTCTGTAGGTACCTTAGTGCTCTTCAGGTACTTCCAGTAAGAGCAGTGAATAGGGAAATACTTTCAGGTCTGACTCCTATCTTACAAAAGCAGCTGCCATCACTTTACAACTAATGAGAGATCCTGGAAATCAACCCCAGGGGCCTGCAGTCTTTTCTCAGAAGGTGGTTCCCTCAAGAGGAAAAGGTAGAAGAGAAGGTTTGGAGATGTGTCATTTCTCTGGTGTTAATCAGAAGACTTCTTTATTGTTTT